AAAAAAAAAAAAAAAAAAAAAAAAAAAAAAAAAAAAAAAAAAAAAAAAAAAAAAAAAAAAAAAAAAAAAAAGGAAAATTTTTACAAGAATCGATTAAAGTCCATGCTACCAGAACATTTCGCTTTCAATTCGACTATTTTTACTTCGTATACAATTTAATAGCCTCTTCCGCGAGGCGGTTTATTGCCACCACGGTTAATATTATTACGAGATGGGCGGCGCTCTTCAAAGGTTAAACATTGATTAGCAATAGTAAGAGTATGACGATTAAGACATTCTCTGTACGATTCTTCATCATAAAACTCGACGAATGCACAAGACTATATTAATAGAAAAAATTAAAATTGCGTCAATAAATGCATTTCAATAAATCTATTACTAAATATAGTATTTACTTTATTGTGAATAAGATCAAGATGTCTAATTTGTCCAAAAGAACTGAGCGAAGATCTCAATTGATCATAGGACACTTTTTGAGAGACCCCTTTAACATAGATAGAAAAGTTTGTATCTAAATAGTATATATAATTAATATCAAATTTAATATCACGAGTCTGAATAATAATAATAATAATAAAGGTTGAAAAAAATACAGACCACTGTTACGGCGATTGTTTCCTTTTAGTCCTTCCTGGCGAAAGTTTCTGTTTTCCCGGGTTTGTTGTTGAGGTGGATGCGAACTTTGAGGTGCCGGTTTTTGTTGTACCTTTTGTGCAGGAAGTGTTGCAGGAACACTTTGGGGCTTGGACTCGGTTTGCGTATTACCACCACTTTTGAAGAGGGTGCTTGCCCAAGTTTGGGGCCCTTGTGGCTTTGGTGCTGGTTGTGTGGCTTGTTGATTTGTGCCGGAAGCCTGAACGGCATTAACTGTCGACTCATCTTTTACGTTAGCGGGGTTAGTTGTAGCAATACCGATTTTCTTAGAGTCAGAGCCGCTTTGAACATTTGCGTGCGTGACTGGCTCGCCGTTAACTGCTGATTTCACAGAAGTAGATTCTCCACTAGCGACATTAGATGTTGATTTAGAAAGGTTTTCACTATTTACAACAGTTGATGCCGGCTTCACAGAAGGAGCTTCAGGATTATCCGAAACATTGCCCGCTGGTTTGGTAACAGTAGATTGCCCGTTTTCATGAGGTTGATTGACAACTCCGGGCTCACCGTTGACAATATTTAAAGATGATTTATGATCATTCCCAACTGGAGAAACAGATCTTTGAGAAACCGGAGAGGTTGATCGAGGAGCTGATGTATGCAAACCGTTTACAGTATGTGGAACTGCTTGCGACGCAACTTTAGGGATTTGTAATTGTTGCGCAAATGCTGGACCATTGCCAGTCGTTTGTGTTCTAGAACTTGATGCCTGAGTATATGCTGGGCCACTTCCAACTGTTTGTGGTCTGGGCGTATTCGAACGTTGAGCGTAAGTAGGAGATGCATTACCAATTTGACCATTGGTAGGTTGTTTCATATTTTGAGATGATGGCCCATTAATCATCGTAGGAACTGGTTGTTGATTAATATAAGGTGGCGATACTTGAGTTGTAAAGGGCATGATGTTAGGAACCGGTGTTCTATTCGGATAAACCGGCTGAATATTAACCGCCACATTCGTAACCGGATTCTTGTTCGCGTGAACTGAGGGTGAACCGACTGCAATTTGAGTGGCCTGAGATTTATCAGAGGAAGCGTTTAACGTGTCATTTGACGCTACCAAAGATGAATTAATTTGTTGCCCTTCAGAGGTAGATGCTGACATTAATGGTAAAGGTGCACTGGGGACAGATTCGGTTTCGTTGGTGTTTGGAGTGCTATTTGTTACATCTGACGCAATAGGTTCACGCGTATGTGCAACGGCATTTTCTCCTTCGATTATAGTGGGGACATTAATCGGTTCTTCAACAAGAGTGCCGGTGGGTGATGAACCTATATCTTCCTCGCCTCCTTCGTTTCCCACCGACTCTTCGATGGCCCCTTCATCGACCTCATCACATTCAGAAATTACATCATCATCTTCATTCAGAAATCGAAAAATATCATTCAATACGTAATATCCGTTAGGTTGCTCGGCAAGGAAGAAAGTTTGAGCAAACTTCCTAGAAGTCTCTTCGTTCCCATTACTCATTTCACCAAGAACTTGAACAACTATCCCGCCATTAAGAGATGACTGACTGTCCACGTTGGTGACAAGAACGCGGCAATTGTCTAAATTGAGTTGCTTGATTTTCTCTCGTATTTCCTATTGATATTCAATAAATATTATAAATTAGATTTTTTTCGTATTAATTATTCAAGGGTCGTAGAATATGTATTTTTTTTGATAGGCTAAATGCAACTAAATAACTTTACTAAAAATCCTTTTTTTCATGTTAATGAATCAGGATATGCCATACTCAAAAAGCATAACCTTTCGCTAAGGTGTTATAAAAACAATAATAGCATGTGCAGTGAAAATAGAAATAGCATTGAAGGTTCTTAAAGGAAACCGAATATTTAAGCTAGTAGTAATTTTTTAGGCGCAAAGTAAATAAAAAATTTTTTCTTGCTTGTAATTTCATATATACATACGAAATCGCAGTATATACGCTAAGAGATAAAAATATAGTAGCAATATACTGCTGATCAAGAAGAATAAAGCCATTACTAACCTGCTCGCCCACAATCGACATGACTTTCTGACCTTCATTACCTCGGATGAGGATGGAATTGCGCCCGTAAAAGCAGTGTAGGCGCCACGGTTCTTTGTTTAAGATGGTATAATATTCATGTACAAAGAGCCACCCGACTTTAAATGAATTAATTTTTTGTCCTGCGACAGGTGTGGGTTCTGAGTTAGCATTTTCAGAGAGATTTGTTGCCGTTTCGGCCATGATTGCGAGTGAATAGGATATGTATCAAACTATCAATATATTTTGGGTGGCAAGTTAGACTTAATCACTTGTCTGAGTTTATTACGGAACGAAGATTTTGGAATTTAAAATGGATACGGTGGCTTTTTATATTCGACTAATTTATAGGATTTTGTACAACCAAACTCCGGTAGTCCGTTTGTTGCAAAAAAAAAAAAAGATCTACCTAATTGACTATGGACGAATAATATTGAAAGATAAACTATAAGATCACATGACTAATTAACATCTATAAAATGATGTTTATACCTAAATGAAATTCTAAGAACATCTACTATATGCTTATACGTATTATATACCTAAATTAAACATCCATCTAATGATTTTCGATAAAAAACTAAAATTTGAAGGGCCAATCTTTCACCCTTAGTTTTTAAGTCCTTTTTAATAAGACTATTGACTACTTTTTATTCAGCATACAGTAATATATTACTATATACATATTACAATAAATAAAAATTAAATCTATAATAAAATAATTTTAAATAAATTATAAACATATATCCCTAGTTTTATTAACTAACGTCAACGAATATTCGTTCTTTAATCTAAGTTTTAAATAAAGATCAGTAAATCCAATTATTTAAATATATTACTGCAATATAAACAACTTACCATAATTTAAAATTGGACGTAGCCATTTTTCGGTTTCTTCTAAATCCTTATTAATACGCTCTGTATAGCTTAAAACCTACAGGAGTAATAAATTACAATTAGCAAATTACAATTAACATTGCCACTTAACAATTATAGTAGGCGACGTTGAAATCTGGAAGATCGGCATATAAAATCTATGCAGATTTCCGACAACAATTATAGTATTTATTAACCTGATCTTTTTCAATTTTTCCAACTGCGAAATACTGCGATTCAGGATTTGCGAATACTAAAGCTGTAATTACGGAATAAAAAGTTTCGTAAGCATATAAAGTAATATTCAAATATTTAGGTAATAGTCAAATATACCTGATACGCTAGCGGCAGGTAACATAGCTAATCCATCAGTCAACTCAATTCCAGTTTCTTCATAAACGTCCATTAACTTCCACATTGTGATTTTTTCACGATGGTCAGGTTGTGACGGATATGCAGGAGCAGGCCGAATTCCCTGATATTTAACACTTAACATATCTCCTAATGATAAGTCTTCATTTGGACTAAATCCCCACAATTCTCTCCGTATATCTTCATGTAAGCACTCCGCAAATCCTTCCGCAAATCTATCTGCAATTGCCTTTGTCATGATTACATTATAATCATCGTGATCTTCCTGGAATTTTTGGCACAATTCTTCGGCTCCAAATATTCCTACAGCAAATAAGCCTAGATAATCTGATATGCCGGAATCTTTAGGCGCAATAAAATCGGAAAGGCAAAAGTATGGATCGCCAGTTTCTTTTTGGGATTGTTGCCTATTTATTAAAGAATATATTAGATACTATCGATAAAACAAGCTTAGCATTCATTTTAACAAACACGAATATACCTCAAACCAAAGAACGTTGCAGAGACTTTAGAACGTGATTCATCCTCATAAACCTATGAAATTAAAACTTTGTTACAATATAGAAAGTCATAAAGATATACAATAAATTGCTTAAATCAACATACTTGGATATCATCATCCACACTATTGGCTACATAAACAATTCAAATAGTCAATAATTTATAAGTTTACTATTTATGTATGAGGCCATACCGGGGTAAAGTCCCACAATTCCCTTAGCAACAAACAACTTTTCATCAATAATCTTTTTATGCTTCTTCGTATAAATTTTTTGCTTCCGCGCCTAAGTTCATCCATGTAACGAAATGTAAGCATCAAATTAAATTGATATTGATCTTAGTCTCATGCTAATAATAATACTTACCAACATGCTTATCGTTAAAAATCTTTGGAAAACCACGATTGGGATATCTTCCACGTAATTGCCTAATTCACAAAGAATATTCATTAAGAATTAATTTACCTTTCATCCAAACTTCATCCAAATTTAATCCAGTGAAATTTCTTACCAAACTTGGAAGAACGGATTCCAGTCAATATACTCGGAAATTCGTTTCAGATCATATTCATTAATCACTTTCTTCCCAATGAACGACGGCTTTACTGGTGATGCTTGGGTTTTCCAATCTATCTTAAATCGTTGCTCTCTAGCGGCTTTTAATGGCAAATGCTTTTTATCTTTTAATGAAGAATAATGGTCTTCCCGAATTTCTTCATATTCTTCTGCTATATCTTCCCAAAAGTCATCTTTCAACTTGGCATCTAAAAGACTTGATACCTGATTTAAGGTTTATTATTAGCAAATTGTGTTGAACTGATATTAAAAAGAAATGCTGATATATGTTACCACAACAACACTCCTTGAAGCATCTAATACATGGATTGTTGGTTGAGTATATCTTGGTGAAATTTTTACAGCTGTATGAGCCTTGGATGTTGTTGCACCACCAATCAATAATGGAATCTGCAAAGTTCATAATTGATAAAATTAACAAAACAAAGCATAATTGTAAATAAAAATAAAATTTGATAATAAAAATATTTACGTTTAAGCCACGTCTTTCCATTTCTCTAGCAACATGTATCATTTCATCTAAGGATGGTGTAATCAATCCTGACAGACCAATAATATCTGCTTTCTCATTAAGAGCAGTTTCAATAATTTTTTCGCATGGAGTCATTACGCCTAAATCTATAACCTTCAAAAAATCAAAATCACGTTAAAAAGATCTTGGACTATTATTAAAAACAAAACGAAAAAAATTACCTTATAATTATTACAACCAAGTACGACACCAACTATGTTTTTGCCAATATCATGAACATCTCCTTTCACTGTAGCTAAAACTACAACACCAGCATGTTGTGGACCAGTATCTATTCCTTCACCTCCGTTAGCTGCAAAATTAGCTTGACGTTCGGCTTCCATAAATGGGATTAAATGCGCAACGGCTTTCTTCATAACACTGGGCAAAGATGAAGCAAAAACATCAAAACTTATACAACAATAACGTTTTCACGTTTAGATAAAAGGTTTACCGTGCGGATTTAATTACTTGAGGCAAAAACATTTTGCCTATGTATAACAAAAGAAAAAAAAAGAAGAAGGCTTAAGTCGTTGTTGATACATAAAATAGTTTGATTTTATTACAAGAAAGTTAACAAACCTGCACCAAACAAATCACCAACAGTACTCATGCCAGTCATCAATGGCCCTTCAATGACATCCAATGGTCTTGGTAGCTAAAATTTAAAATAAAAATCAATAATTCATAATAAAAAAATACTAACAGCTGATCCGGATAAGATCAGCACAATTTTCATATTAGAACACTGGAATCTGACAAAAGTTACTATGATAAAAAATTTTTTATTAAGTGAACGTACCTATATTTCTAATCAAAGTTGTAAAATATTGATAAAATGTCTTTGCGATCATACAAAATTTTCTTTGAACACTTGCAAAGAAATTTTATATCACAAAAACATTTTTATTAATATCTTAAGATTTACCGGACTGATTTAAACGGTTTTACCACAATCAGACCGCAATTATCTCCTTTATAACTTTTATTAAAAGCACAAGTAACTTAAAAGCTATTTATCAAAGCGACTTTTGTCAGATTCCAACATATGTACGATTATTAGTATCATAGGAAGTTTGCCACAAATCCTAATATGGTAATTATGTCAATAATATCCGGATCGGCATTAATTTTGTTAAACCAACCAGTTGTCTCGCTTCCTCAGTATCCTCGATTATATACTTTACGACACCTTTAACCAAAGCATAAGAAATTCTCGATTGTACATCATTCTTCCTCCATTCTTCTTCAGTATCATCTTTTTTGGCACCTTTTCCAAATTTTTGCGCATATGCTAAAATTTTTTCAGTGACATCAGGATCTCTGTTCCATACTGCATCTTCACATAGCTGTAGTAAGTCTTTTGGGATATCATCATAAATTGTCAAGAATCCTGCATTTACAATTCCCATATCAAGACCTGAATGTAACAGGCATTAAGAAATTGGAGAAATTGAGGAAATTGGAAAATTAAAAAAATCATACACAGTTAACATTAAACTTACCAGCTTTAATTGCATGATACAAAAACACACTATGCATTGCTTCTCTAATTTTATCCATTCCACGGAAAGAAAAGGATAAATTCGAAATACCGCCACTGACCTGAAACATGTCATTTAAAATATATACAAAAGAAATGTGCAATTTTTAATAAATAAATCTCATTTGCTTATATCATTGATTATTTATATTACCTTTGCACCAGGTAATGTTTGTTTTATTACTCTAGTAGCTTCGATAAATTCTACAGCGTAATTGTTATGTTCTTCCATACCCGTGCAAATTGTCAGGATATTCGGATCTATTTTTGAAATAATAAATTAATTCAGATATGATAATTGTAAAAGTGAATTTGATAAACATACCAAAAATAATATCATTAGGATTAAATCCAACTTTTTCTGTCAAGATCTTATACGATCTGGTGCATATTTCCACTTTACGATCTTTTAAATCAGCCTGACCCATTTCATCAAACTGTCATTATTCGTTATTGTCCGTTGATATGATAGTAATTCGTGAGAAATATATGTATTTAAAAAAAATTCATGAAAAAAAATAATGCAAATAATAAATACAATAAATGCTTTGTTAAGAAACTTACAGCCATACAAACAACAGCAGCACCAAATCTTCGAATAATCTTTGCCTTTTTAATAAAATCGGCTTCACCTTCCTTCAAACTGATACTATTAACTATGCACTTTCCTTGTGCACATTTTAATCCAGCCAATATAACATCAAAATTTGAAGAGTCTACCATAATAGGGACCTAAATTTAAAAATAAATTTATTAAATCGTTTTAAAAATAATAACATATGAACAAATAAGATTTACCTTAGCAACATCAGGATCGCAAGAAATTAAATTCAAAAATTTAGTCATCGCAGCTTTCCCATCCAACATTCCTTCATCCATATTAACATCAATAACTTGAGCACCATTTTCAACTTGAGCTCTTGCAATTGTCATAGCCTCCTCATATTCACTGTTAAGAATATGACGACAGAATTTTCTTGAACCTGCTACATTACACCTTTCACCTAAATTAACAAAGTTGGATTCTTTGTTAATTTTCAAGACTTCCAGACCAGATATTAACATATTTTCCAAACGAACATCAGGTGGTGGAACTCGAGGCTTGTAATGAGAACAAGCATCAACGACGGCTTTTATGTGAGCGGGCGTAGTACCACAACAACCGCCCATTATATTAACCAAACCATCTCGAGCAAATTCGTGAACTTTTGCGGCCATCATCGAGGGAGACTCATCATATTCACCAAACGTGTTTGGAAGACCCTATTATAAAAATCAATGATTAATATAACATATAAAGTAATATTTTTAAGCATCATGAATATTTAATACCAACCGCGTTAGGATAACAAATTACAAATGTGCTTGTAAAATTTGCAATATTTTGAATAAAAGGGCGCATTTGTTCAGCCCCTAAGGCGCAATTTAACCCGATGGCTGAAGGATGAGAGTGACTGACACTGACCACAAAGGCCTCACCGGTTTGACCACTGAGTGTACGGCCAGACTGATCGACAATCGTACCAGAAATAAATATTGGGGTTTTTTTATAAGAACCTTCTTCGAAGAGTGTGTCAATTGCAAAAAGGGCAGCCTAAAATTGAATAATAAAATTTAATATGATTGTTGTGATCTCGATATATATTGATAAGTGTGATTTGATCATACATACTTTAGCATTCAAAGTATCAAAAATTGTTTCCACTAATAAAATATCAGCACCACCATCCAGAAGACCTCTAACTTGTTCAGTATATGCATCGACAAGCTCATCGAATGTAACATTACGATAAGAAGGGTTTTCAACAGAAGGGGAAATTGAACAAGTTCTATTTGTTGGACCCAGTGCACCACAGACAAATCTTGGTTTAGTTGGATCTCTTGCTGTAACCTTTTATTGAATAAGATGAAGGGGATCAGAATAATAATATATATATATATATATATTTTTTAATATTTTATAAATTTTGAAAACTCATCACCTCCATACAAGCTTCTTTAGCCAGCCTAGCAGCTTCTTTATTTAATTGATATACAAACTTTTCACAAGCATAATCAGCTTGACTAATACAAGTACTACTAAAGGTATTTGTTTCGACAAAGTCTGATCCTGCTTCCAAATAATGAATGTGAATTTGTTTAATTTTTTCTGGTTGCGTCAACGCCAGAATGTCATTGTTTCCTTTAAGGTCATTAGGATGATCCTTAAATAGCTCTCCCCGAAAGTCTTGTTCAGTTAAACGTAATTCTTGAATAACAGTACCCATGGCACCATCAAGAAACATTATCCGTTGGCTCAATTGTTCATTTAGGTAGATTTGAAGGTCAGATATGCCGTAAGTTGGATCAATAATGTCATTAAAGTCATTCGAAACACAATTTGGATTTTCCATTGTTCACGAGTATATATAATTTGTTTAACGAGTTAACGTTAATGCTAAGTGTAGTTTTAGTTTCCAACTTTATCAACGTTAAATAAAACTAGAATTTTAGGTTGCATCAATGTATCAATGAACATCTCAATCTAAGATAAAAAAAATTAAATGAATGTATCTACCCCTTTTTGGTTTAGCAAACAAAAACTTGTTGCGCGTTAATAATTATCAGTAACACAGTCCAGCCACTTAAATTTTGACCAACCCGATGCAGGGACTAAGGATGGAAATAAATTAAGAACACTATATATCGATATATATAGTATGCTTCGCTTCCGGTTTTAAAAAACATAAGAGATAACCTAGAAAAATGGCTTATAGTCAGGTGTGCGTATAGGCCAATAAACCATACTATACTGATTTGCAAACACCTAGAGCTCTTATTTAGATTAAACTCTAACTTTTCAACCCAGGTTATGGCCCGGGCTAAAAATCACATAGGTCAAGCTCAATAATTAAACATTCAGTCGTGGTATATTAAGATATGTGTTTAAAAATATAGTAAAATCAGAACATTTAAGCTTTGCATCAAAAAGTTTCTTAACCTTGTTCGTAATTTGAGAACATTTATTTTTATATTGGAAAACCCGGTTATTTATAATATGAAGGATAAAACTCACATTGTGAATTAGCGTTAGTAAAACCTGCTACATAAATCATATGAGGGTGAAATCCGCTTTTGTACGTATAAAATTTACCCTAACATGATCTATATAGCGATTTACTAATTTATAACGCAAGCTTAACCCAATTTTATTATAATTTATCTTTAATATAAAATATGCATTTTTTTTTTGGGTTTCCTTTTTCCCTTCCTAAAACTAATGGTAGTTCGACTTAAATTAGTTTATAAATAGAAAATTAAGATGTTTTGTTACACTTAGGTGGTTATACAAGATACAATAGATAGTTAAAAATTTTTTTTTTAATTTTAAAAGGTGAGGCCATGCCAGATAGTTAAAATTTAATATCATCTTGATACAAATCTGTAATTAATCTTTTTTTTTTTTGAATATTAATGGTGAGACCAATCTGTAATTAATCTTATCATGTATATGTTGTGCCTCAGATCGATTCTTGCCTCAGGTAATAACTGAGGCACCTCAGATGTCGATCGTCATATGAGATGCGTAACCTGTTAATCGATTACTTGAGGTGCCTCTGTTGTCACCTGATGCACCTCGGTCATAATCTGAGGCAATTAATATTTCGATTAAATAACGATCGCAATAACAATGAACAAATTTAATCAATTCATCAATTCAATGCAAGCTCTAACTAATTTAACACTTATTTAAACATGAATGCCCACTGTGACATCTACTTGTACATTTTCCACCATATTTTTTACATTTACATTTATTATTATTACAAGGACCTTTACAATTACATATAACACTTGATACGGATCCAACACTTTGAAGCCTTGCCGCTTCTCGAACAGACAATTTATCTGATGGGATCTTGTCGAGTTCAGGATAGATAGTAGTACCAAGTGCTTCGAGTTCGCCTGATGAATAACAAGCGTTAAGTATACCAAATTTACATCCTAAGCGATATTGCTCTCCAACTTTTTCTATTATCTTGCAGAGGAGTGCGGGGCGATTGGTGCCAAATCGATCAATTTTTGGAACACTAACACGAACCAAATCACCAACTTTAAAATCAACTAATTTTCTTTTTTTAAGCATCCATTTGGTCATATTTTCTGTATAAAGTTGTAGGTCCCGTCGTGCTGTATTTCATAACACTTCATGCCGTGTAATATTAGAATGCTGGTCTGTAATATCAGCAAGGACTGGGTTTTGTTCTAATTGCGGATATTCTAATCAAGATTCAACGAATTCAAATAAATAATAAATAAACAAAATAAAAGAAAAACTGCAATAAAAAGAAATTTACCAGTATTACTACTATCGCTGTCATCCTGGTACAATTGTTCAGGGCTTTTGCCTGAATC